AGATTACCTACAGCAGCAGTTATTCCCTCTATACATTTAACTTACAATTAAACACCTTGATATGGACATAATCTCACTCCAGAAGAGCATGACTCAAAAACAAGGTCAAGCAAGTATAAGCTTCATGTGACAATTATTGTTGGTTGTCACTTTTATGTAAGTTAGAAGATTTACAACCCTTCTACATCTTGTTGAACGGGTGTCTACTAACCACATGTAAAACACTTGAATGAATATTTAGAAAACTTTAAATTAATGTAAACCTAAATAAAGGTGTATTTTTTCCTAGTTATAGAAGGGTGAAATTAGTAGTACTGCCATCTGAGACACATTTATTATCTTGCATTACATGTGTTAGAAAAATAGCTTAGAACAGGTGAGTGGTATTATTTAGTTTAACTTGATGTTATCCCTCATCTTTCATCAAAGTGTTTTAGTTCAAATGTATGTTAGTGGTTAACTTGATATGACATTTATTGTTGTTTAAACGATCAAACATGTACTATTCTGGAAATAAAATAGGAAACAGTGAATAAAATAGTTATAAAATGCAAATGTCATGGATTGCTCTTCCTCTCTTAAATTAAAGTGAAATGATGAAACTGTACCTTGTAGAAACAAGGAGGCTGAAAGAATACTTCTCACCATGGCTTGCCCTGCACAAAGTTCTAATAAGAATATTATTAAGGCTGTATGAGATTATATGGAAAGTGAGATCGAATGTCAACCAAAAATCTGGGCTAAATTGTGGGGAGTAAAACAGAACATTTGGAACAGTATTTCACAGTCATACATTAAAAAGTATATGGTGGCATAAAAACAAGATTCTAATATGATAACTTATCTCCTCTCACATACAGCTTTTTAGATTCAGTGTTGCTCTCTATATGCACAATTTGCACTTGCCACTAGCCTTGAAATTCCCATCTAAAATCATGCATTTCCACATGATATTGCTGTGCTGTTGTATGCGACAACCCTCCACCAATAGGAGTGACACACCCTCCTGGTGCAACTGGCTTCCTCTATATTCAATGTTCAGTTATCACTTCTTGATTTCATACCTGCAAGTTAAGGAATGTTTTGTGCTTGTGCAATTTCATCAAATTGGTACTGTAGATTGCTTGCTTTGAAGTTTGTTATTTATGTTACTACTGCTTTTGCAGTTTGATAACTTTTTTTTTCCACATTATGAAATCTGAAGTTAATGCTACTTCTACTTTGTCTGGGGCTACTCAACAAGACATTATTCAGGCTGGACAAACAACAACTATGACATCAGGCTCCTCTTTGTCTGTTGAGAGGTGTTGGCCATTGTGCATGGGAGTTGGAGTCTTTCATGCAGTCTTGATCTTCTTCTGACCATGAGGTGGATATTTCTCTATCAGTAGAACCTGTTAATGGAGTCTTTCATGCAGTCTTGATCTTCTTCTGACCATGAGGTGGATATTTATCTATCAGTAGAACCTGTTAATGAGGACAGAGATTTTTACAGCCTTTACCCACCTCCAGTCTTTGCTGCAACTCCTCCTGTTTTGTATCTCCCTAGACCTTCCACTTTTTTTTTGGATATGGTTTCTCAGATTTGTTATAAATTTTCTCTTTGTTCTGTGTCTTTTGGCTCTTCACCTTCTGGCTTAAATCCTCTGTCTTCCCTGTGTCTTTCTCAAGCTCAGTTCTCCTGTTTTGGTCTTAGCCTTTCAACACTCTTACACTATCTATCCTCTCTTCACCTTCTTTTCAAGGCTATCCACCATTCTTCTGAGGGGTTTTTGGCAGACACTTGTTCACTTATTTTTTCTACTTTGGCTTGTTTGTCTTCTTCAGCTTTGTCACTCCATACTTGGTTGCTCTGTTGCTAGGATTTGATAGGGAGTGATACCTTTCTTACACAGGTGTGTTTACTTCCCTCTTATCTCAGAGATCTTTGTCAAGCTCCTTTTATATATATATCAAAATGTTTTGGGGGAATACTTTAATCTTTGGAGTTATATATTGAGGCTGCACTCCATCATTCTTCCCTCTCCTCCCTAGTTTCTTGTCTCTCTCATGCTCCTTCTTTGCCTGTTCCTGTCTCATATCCTACTGCTTCCTATACTCTCCCTGTACCTCCTTCATATTTTTCTGCTTCAATCCATCCTTCTGCTGCTCATTGACTTCAATGCTCTCAGTATTAATGGTGACTATCCTCTAGGCTCAGGGACAGCAGGAGCGAATTTGTCTCGGTTTGTAGACATATAGCATCCACTTGCAGCTGATTGTTAAGTACTTCAAGTTCTGACAGAGTACCTTACCATTCGTTTTGCCTTTCCTCCTCTATTGTCTCTTGTTCCCATTTTTTTTCATCCTCCCAGGAATCTTGTTTCTTCCCACCATCTATTCAAGGCAGTATTGGACCTGTTGACCAAGGATGTTATCAAATGGCTTTTTTTATTCTTCTCCAGGATTTTATTCCCATCTGTTTATAGTTCCCAATCATAGATCTTTCATGCTTCAATCAGTTTCTTGACCTCTCTTAATTTACCATGGAGAATTTTATCACCATCAGGTGTTCTATTGCTCCAGGTCTTTGTATGACCAAGGTGGACATCTCATATACTTATTTTCACATTCCCATTTCCACTGCATCCAAATGCTACCTTCAGTTTGTTCATTTAGATCAGGTTTTTCAGTTCCATGCTTTCACTTTTTTGACTGGCATTCGCTCCATATGGTTTTAACAGGGTAGTCATATCTTATGGTCATCATGTTCATAGCTTGAAGTTGTGGATGACTGGTTTTATATGGCTCCATACTAACAAGCTTCCTACAAAACCATACTATTATCCTCCTTTGGGAGGCAGCTCATCTTAGTTGGTTGGGCAAACTGGAGAAGTCGCACCTCACACCCACTCAATACCTCATTCATTTGCTTGTGTTTTTCAATTCACGTCTCAGCAGGACCCAGCCTTCTCCTCTTCATTTGTGAGACATGTAGCAATTTGTTTCAACTGTTATATCCTCTCCTTCTTTCCCTGTGTGGGAGGTTTTCTCTCTCTTGAGGATTTGAGCTTTCATGGAATCCCTCATTCCCTTGGGTTGTGCTCATATGCAATATCTATAATGGACTTTGCATGGTCAATGGAAACTTGCTTGGGATCCCTTGTCCTCTTTTATTCATCTTCCTCCTTCTTTGTTCACTGACCTCACTTGGTAGCTCGACAAAACCAATACCACAGAGGGTGTTCCTCTTCCTCCCTATCTCCTGGATCTCCTTCCTTTTACAGATGCTTCCCTGATGAGATGGGGTGTGTATTTTGACTCTCTGGAGATTTTGGGTAGATGGTTTCTAGACGAATTGGCCCTTCATATCAATCTCTTAGAACTTTTAGGGGTACATCGAGTTTTAGATAATTTTCTTATGATGGTTTGTGGCCATCTAGTTATGTTCCATTTGGACAACTCCACATTTGTCTCCTATATCAATCACCAGATGGGCACCTGGTCTTGCTCGTTCTGTTTCCACACCTTCAACCTTCTTTTCTGAGCCCATTCCTTACAAGTATGCCTGTTGGCTTGTCATGTGCCAGGTGCCCTGAATTTTATTGCTATACTACACCAGATGGCACGTCTTTGAATCGGATTCTGAACTGTGCTTGTTTTCTGCTTGACCTAGCGAAATGTCTTTTCTTTATAGGCAAAGTGTACCCTGGTACAGATGAGCTGCAGTCTCCCATGGGTGTACCCCTATACTGTTCCATCATATAGGGTGCCTTATTCTATGGTTTCCCTTTACATGTTGCCTGAAGGGGGCTCATCTAGGTAATATTTGTACTTGTCCTTTTACCACTTCAACATGGTATTCTAGCTATATTGTATTGGAAGTTAACAATTTCCGACACAAAAAATGTATTTCTGATAGATACCGTTTTTCACACATCTCACTCATTCTCCCCAATTTTGGTGTGTTTTTTCTTGGATGATTTTGAAGTGATGATTGAATAATCAATATAGAGGGAGTCAAATGCACTATAAGGATGTGTTGCACTCCCATTGGAGGGTTTTGCATGCTCAGTTGCAGGCAACAGTGTGGAAACGTGTGATTTTATGTGTGAGTTTCAAGGCTATTTAATTATTACCATACCCTACAAGCTACTCATTTAATTAGTAGTGTATCATACATGACAAGTTGCCCATTTAATTAGTAATTTGCCATACACGACAAGTTGCCCATTTAATTAGTAGTGTGTCATACACAACAGGATTACCATTTAATTAATAGTGTGCCATACACAACAGGTTGCCCACTTAATTACTAGTGTGCCATACACAACAGGCTATTTAGTTTGTAGTATGCCATAAACAGCAAGCTTCTCATTTAATTAGTAATATGTCATACAATAACAAGCTTATCATTTCATTAGTGTAGCATACAAAACAAGCTTACCATTTTATTAGTAATGTAGCATACGAAACAAGCTTACCATTTAATTAGTAGTGTATCATACACAACAAGCATACTATTTAATTTGTAGTGTGTCATACACAATAACTTACCATTTAGTTAGTAGTGTGCCATACACAACATGCTTTCCATTTAATTAGTAGTGTAGCATACACAATATGCTATTTATTTAGTAGTATGCCATATAGAACAAGTTGCCCTTTTAATTAGTAGTATAGCATACAGAACAAGCTTACCATTTAATTAGTAGCATAGTTTACAGGACCAGCTGATTATTTAATTAATAGTGTACTATACACAAATAGTTGCCCTTTTAGTTAGTAGTTTTGTGAGTGAGTGAATGAAGGGTATCTTTACAAGTCATTAGCTGTTAACTATATGTAATCTTTGGTTGTCATGTATTAGTTATGCAGACCTGTCTAGTTATAAAGACTTATTTATTAAGTCCTGTGTTTTTTATTGTTTTTCATGTTGGACAGTTTTTTAATCTGTGGCATCACAAGCAGATGAACAGATTCTTAGTGCATTTGAGTACTGATACATTTTGTCATTATAGGAATGTGTTGACAGCTTGTCAGTTCCAGACCCTCTTCCATCAACAGAGTCCACATACTACCAATTTAGTAATGTACCTCATCAAAGGCTAACATCTGCAGATGGTGGTAGAGGTATAAAAATCTATCATATATAATGAATGAGTATACTAAGAAAAATTCTCTCTTTCATTACACAGTTCAGTCTTTATTGTTGGGGTGTATTATCTGAAATGATACAGAGCATTATAATATAAATTAAATTTTAAGAAAACTATCGTTGAAATCTTTCTGAAAAACAGTTATAAGGAATATAAATTTTGAATACCTGTAGACTTGTTTAGTCTGAATAAAAGCATTTTATAATTATATATTATTCTATAAATTTATTATATACATATATATTTATATACACACAATTGAAAGAGTAATGTGTGTATATTTATGCATGGGAAGCTTTTTAATCTTCATTAACTGTTAAAATGATGAAATTATGAGTGGGTAAGTACAGATGATGTCACCATATGTATAAGGGAAGGGTGGATGTAGATAGTGCTATGTACTGCAAGGGTAAAAGTATTTTAGGAATGGATCTGTCATCCCTCAGTGTTCCACCTCAGATAGCAGTGTTTATGTGTTAAGATTTTGTGTGTGAATTTCTTCATTTGTTTATAGACACATAGAGTACCGGTACCATCATCTTACTGAGTTGTAATACTTGCCCCTGATACCCAGGTTTTGAAAGTGTTGCTAGATCTGGTATTACTTACTAGATAAGTCGATTGCTTTATCATTTTTGATCACACCATTTGACGCAAAGTGTTTTTTGTACTAAAAGTGTTGTGAAATAGGTTTAGTCCATTTAGGTTTAATCTTTCAGTTATTCAGATGCCCCACATGGCCATCAGATTCATTAAGAACTCTACATACCTAACCCTATACATGAGTAGTATAGGCAGGTCACTTAACTGTTTTAATTACTTCAGATATACAGCACAACCTTTGCATTTTGTAAGCTTTGTGAATTCAAATACAAAACAAAATACCACAACCAAAAAAATGTTTCATACATAAAGCACAAACTTTCCCCTAGTATATAATTAAAAACAGAATGCTTATACATTTTATATACCCATGTGGGAGGCTTTTAATAATGTAAGATTTGTTGTTTACATGTGTTAATACGATAAAGACTCTTCAGGTTTATGATAGCTTCCGCACTTCTTAATTATGTGTCATGGTAACTGAACAGCATATATCTTAAAATTAATAAAATGTAAACACATATTTCTTAATTAATTGACATGACATATTTTAATATTTAGACATACGTTTGTATTGAAGTTGATAAGTTTCTTAACAGTTGGTGCAGCTCATAGGATTAAGTAATATTTAAGAATTGTCGTAAGTACTTCAAAATTTTATATCATCACATATTGAAAGTGCTTTGCTTGAAAATTACTGATTTGTACTAGGTCACCCTTCTTATACGGTTTCTAGTGCCTTACCTTGTACAATCAGCAATTCAATAGTTTTTTTCTTTCCTGACTAGCTCTCTCACTCTCTTTCTTTATGGTTTTGGACATCTAAAAAAAAGTTTAGTCACCATTAATTTACAATCTCTGGGTTCTATCAACTTTATTCTTTGGACTGTCCCTTTGTTATTAGCTTCTACAAATTTCTTTTTATTTTGATTTGCCCTTATTGATCCAGGGTATCTTTCCTGGGACTGTAAAGTCAACTTGCCTTTCATTACCCAACAAATTTATTGGCAATCCTTATCATTAAAATTCTAGTTAAATTACATTTGGTTGAATAATATTAAATGCTGCAAAATTCCCACTAAAATCACTAAATTTTCAATGATCATAAATGTGTTTTGTCCACAATGTTTTACCTGGTACAACTTACATGTAACCTTGTCTCCTGCTATGTGTGCATTTAATGCTATGTTTAAATCTAGAAATTCACTTTAATAAAACACAATGAGCTGTATCTTCTTTATTATTACTAATAGTTAACATGACCATTGGCCAGTACAATTACAGCATTATGACTTCTTGAATCATGTTTGCCAAAAAACAGGTAACCATTGAAATATTTCTAAAATGTAGCAAATAAAAAAGGAACTTGAGGTATGTAAATGCAAAAAATAATATATGGTCCCTCTTCAACATAAGATTTTTTTAAAGCAGAATGTTTTACAAAATACATATAGACAACTTCAATGTTGTCATTACAAGTACCTATCAGTGGACCTATATTGTGCTGAGATATTTTGCTAAAGATGTAATAAGATTTATATGTCTGCATGTGTGTTTTTACTTTTTGTCCCCTGGTGTCAACAATAACATACAACTATAATAGGCACCTATGAGCAAGCAGGTTTCATGTTACAAATAGTAATTTATTTAAATACCAGAAATGCAGTCATTGGCAATATTATACAGATCACAACTTGAGAAAATTTTATATAGAATAAAGAACTGAGACTGTGACTTCATTAAGAACAAAATCACACATAACTTTAATGACGTTTATCTCAATAGAAGTACAATTTCTACTCAATAAGATTAAAGTTTTGTTTTACAATACATTTAGTAACTTAGCCTTAACCCATTAATAAAATACAATTTTGTTAATCAACAAAAACCATTTTATGACTTACTAACGTATAAAGAAATAAACTTATGTCATGGATGAAAGAGAAGTGACTCGATACAGGCAGCTTTGAACTCTGATTCTCAGCTCCCACTCTGCTGTTCTCACTGCTTCTTTTAAACTGTTTCTTTAATTCCTCTTTATTTTGGTTTTTGTTTAGCCCTGATTGGTTGTGACCTAATTAAAATGTCATCTTGTTGACACAGAATCAAGGTAGAGTTAATTCCTATTGGTCAGTGTATTCTGTATCAGAAACCAAACACAGCTGTTCATTGGTGGACCTCTAAGGAATACAGCTTGGTTTCATTCTAATTAGAAAATGCTTGTATTGATATTCAATGTTTTAGTATTCCTGCCATGAACGGTAGCCCAAATGTAAACATCCTGCCATGAGTAGCATTCAACATATATGCTTTTTAACTAAAATCTAGTTGATTAACCTAGAAAATCTGTACTGTTTACTCAGTTAAGTTAGTAGCTTATACATATAACATTATACAATAGAATCTTGTTTTTCATTGGTTTCTTGATCTTATTCCTCATATAACTGCTAACTAATCCTTGGACTTTTATAAATCATAATTCATACTATCATTCTAAATATAGCTATTCAACCATTACATAAACAACTATTTAATAATTTTAACTTGAAAGAAATTCTAGTTTTGTTTTGTGTTCCTTTCATTCTTGTCCTTTTAGGACGAATTCTTATTATTATAAGTTTCTTCCTTCAACCTTTTTTTCTCATTTCAACTACTAGATCTCTGGTTCATATTAACTTCTAGGTTTGATTTACTTATGAAAATAAATTCTTCCATGTTGTAAAACACAAAGTAGTTTTAAAATTGTCCATACAATTTGAACTATCAATGAAAAACACATTACCTTCTTAAACGTGCCATATTAAAAACTTTATATATTCAATAAAATTCTCAAGCTTCATACTTATTTTATATGAACATTTATATATGCTAAAAAAAACAGTTTTTAAATTTACTATAGAACAATAAAATAAAACATCCAATAGAAGATATTAACAGTTCCATACAAAATAGTCAGAGATCTATTTATAGAGTGCATTAACTTTGCTGATGCTGCATTACCTTCCACTTCAGAGTTGGTAGTAGAAAGATCCTTCTTTTAACTCCAACACATCCAATTTAGGGCAATATTCTACCTAATCTAATACAGATTTTTTTAACAATGTCACTTTATCAAGTCCTTTGATATATGTTTGCTGATAATCTTTTTGAAGGCTGGTGCATATTTGAATTAGTTGACCATATTCAGTGTCACTTTCATTCCTGATTAGCCCATGTAATGATTCATTACCCAATTGATGTGTTGCCTATTATTCATTATAGGTTAATAGGCACTATTCAAATTGGAGTGAGAATATGTATACGTCCTCCTATGTGGTTAACACATTCTTGTAAGCTAACTCCTTGATTACATACTTGCTTCCCATTAGGAAGCCTTTGAAATCCTTACAATCCCTCAGATCTTGGGGATGATCCAGTTTTAACAGTAAGATTGAACACAATGTTGCAGTTTTATTTAAATGCATGTATAATTTAGACTTGTGAGTTCACACTTTGAAGTTACAATTTTGACACTTACTAAATCAGTGTTTGTTCCACCTGTATTGTTTTACACTTTTTATTCATTATCACCATGTTCTTTTCCTAATTGCTGTAATTCTGTATCATCTTCTGTATTACACATTCTCTGTTATTTTAGTAAACACTTCTTTTTTGATATTAATGGTGCTTCACAATTTACTTGCTAGGTTGATTGACCTCACCTTGTTTCATGTGTTTTGTATTGTTCATCACTACCTTATTCCTAATAATTTTGGCTCTGGTGCTGTTCATAAAATGTTTTAACTTAATTGATTGTAGTGGACTCCTTTAATTTTATCCCTGGTTAAACAATCAACTACATCCTATCCTTTACTAGGTTAAGCTTTATATTTTTTCTTAGTGTTACCTTCATGGATGTCCACAGAAATTATTCGAGGGAGTGCAAAATTTTCCATGGGATTGGGGGTGGGGGGAGGCAAAGTAGTGTGAAATTGTGAATTGCATAAAAAAGTCATATACATATGCTGAATGAATAAAGAAAAATTATGTTTCTCATTTTTATGGGGGGGCACTCCCTCCCCCTGCACACTTGCGCGGATGCCCATGGTTATCTTTCTTTATTAATCTCTTGTCTATCAAGTCGCCATGCCTCGAGAGTTGTTAACTTATCACATGACTGATATAACAGTACGCATACTAACATGAATTATCAAGCATAGTGTTATTAGTATCAAGTTGGTCAGCTTCCACAAACTGAAAGAGATGCTACAGGATGTTTGAACAACTTGTCTTGATATTTGTAGAGTGATTCTTCAAAGTGACAATGCTACGTGCTCTGCCTCACAGGATCTGATCCCATATATATACCATCTCAGTGTTGGAATGCAGTCT